ACGTTTTCAGTGGAACATAGGGCTTTAAGCTAGAGGATTGAAGTTTCTGTAGCAGTGGTGATTATTTTTACAGGATGGGGTTGCTGGCCTCATGCCCACCCTTTTCTCTTTACCAGCTTTATAACTGGCTTAGCGAGGTAAAGGAGTGCATCAGTGTTCAGGTATCGAACCCGGGCCATGTGCATGGTCGGCGAGCGTCCTAACCATTGTGCTGCCAACGCACCTGACTTCTTTGAGCAAGTTATGATTAATACGCTTACAAAACCTTAGGGTGACATCACGCGTCAGTCCATCGTCCAGGTGGAACCTAAATGGGGAACGACGAGTTGGACGTTAGCCTCAGAGTGGTATGGAGGAGGTAGTATGAGGAGGGCAGTGAAAGCGCGTGCTTAATCGTGGACCCAGCTAAAACGGACTGCAAAGAACAGGATAAGATGGAGATAAACTGCTGAAGCAGTATGTTCCATTTGTAACCCAAGGAAATAATAAAAGTAAAAACTCAAGATTTGGTGTTTAGGTATTTAAATTGTTTCGAGTTCGATCGCATACTGATGTCAGTTAGAGAACCATTAACAACCAGGGAGTATTGGACTTCTGGCAATTCATAATTTTTGGTGTGACTATCAATCAACATTATCGGGGAGTTTTTGTCCTCACGCCAGAACCGGTGGATCCCACTTTACATAAACTGTGATTTCAAGCGGCACTATACCTCCAATGTCTTTAAGAAAGGAAATTAAACATCTTTGAGAATATTTATCGTAACAAGGATAACAGTAGTGTTCTTTAATTATCCATTGGTCCCCAGAATACTGACTTTTCAACGCGTATCCTGTCCTAAACGGCTCAAGAGTACCATCCCGCATGGTTACAGAAAAGTAACAATGGCTATTTAAGGAGTGCTGTAGCTGAACACCTTGTCAGCTGAGGTCAATCTATCTCGATAAACCCCTCTTTCAAAGTGATCTACACAGTGAAGAAGAGCTTCTTTCTGTATCCAGTTAGATGCGAGTATCCGATTAATTTTCAAGACATGTATAATCCCCACCCTGGCATTAATGATCTATGTGTTTTGTTTTCATTAATTTTCAAGAACTAGTATGCAGCGATTTGGTAGAGGTTGAAATTCACGTGACATTGACTCAGGTTCTAGTCGCTGAATGGTCTTAAGAAACTTTCCTTTTAACCGGAAGGCTCTGGGTTCAAATCCTAACAGTGGGTGCGTACTGCGAAGAGGTCCAAACTGGGAGGAAACGCCTGTCCAATACTCCGTGAATCTCAGTGGTTCTCCAACTGACATCAATGCGTGACTGAACTTCTTACAAACTAAACCGTCCTAAACTAAATTTGTTCACCATGTAGCAGATTACATTTCAGAATTTAGCCTTGATATTCGTAGAATTATGGATTGTAGGTGGAAACAAAATTTTATTTTGGTGTGAAAGAATGCATTGTAAATACTTTTTAACAATCTTCTTCTAAAACAGTAATTTGGCTGATAATGCATTTTATCCTTGCCCAATGTGACAAAAATTTTTAAAATACGTAAATGATAAGTAGGTAACAGGAATAGCTGAAGAGAAATTAACCTGCATTCTTCAAAAATTAAAAACTTTTATTTTTTCATTTATGTGGAGAATATCAGGATCAAATATTCTCTAACTGAGCGATATCAAGGTAAGGAAAACTTTCCTATTTGTTTTTTCATGACATGTCAAGGTCACCACCTTATTATCCCACTACTTAATATTTGATGCAGCTTGTTTCCTGAGCCAATCACGGGCAAGCTTCTTTTCATTCTTTCTGTGATGCTATTGATTTTGTCAGTTGCATTGATAATGTTTATTACTCCTATGAAAGTGACTTTTCAAGTAAGATGTGTTCTTAATATTCACGAAAGTTTCACTGATTGCAATGGTATTGTGCAAAGATCGTATATTGTTAGATACTGAGATGGTCTGCTCAGGTTGATTCGGTATCTCCCGTTGAATGAGCGTTATATTGGAGCGGACTTGTTCAGTCACTGATGACAAGTCCCCTCCTAATATCGACGCGTCAAAGATTTCTGAGGATTGTCATGATGTTATTTTATTTTTTTCATTCCTTCACGTTCCCAGTGGAACATAGGGCTTCAAGCTGGAGGTTTGAAGTTTCGGTAGCAGTCGTGCGTTTATTTTTACGGGATGGGGTTGCTAGTCTCATGCACAACCTTCCTTCTTCACCAGTC